CACACACACTTGGCAGAGGTAAATGAGACAAACGGCCTCTTACCGGTGTGAAGACTGAAAGCCAAACTGAGGAGCAGCAGCCTCTGCATGGTGCCTCAGCCGACCAGCAAGTCCGTTACTGGCTCAGACCTCCGTGAGGACAGCATCAAAAACCGGGACTTGTTTTTTTTTACTGACTTTACTGATGATGAAGTGAAACAGCCACAGTCCTCCGACTGCCGCCCTCTCTCATCCCTGTTTCGGCTCCGACTTGCTCGCCTTTACACCATTTTGGTGTTTTTATTTTTCCTCTCCTCTTCTTTACCTCTCTCCTCTTCGCTCTTCAGCGACAGTCGGTTTTCTACTACACTAAAGCAAGCGTGCGTCTGTTACACAGGTAACTTCCGGTTGTGCTCTTCAAAATAAAACAAAAATGTAAATAAATACTCTAAATAAATAAATAGAGGGATTTTCTATGGAAAACATGATCAGGACCTTCATAATGTGTGGCTTCATTAAAACGTTAAATGTTGGATCAATAACTATAAAAATATTTATTATAGAAATGTTTGCCATTATTGTAACAATTGATAAAAGTCAATAGTTTATTTTATTGTTTTTCCTTTCTTTTACAGTAGTAATTTGTTTTGTAATGTAATTTTTTAAACAATGAAATATTTTACTTTATTTACAAAAAATATCTCTTCATTTCCTTTAAAATATTCTTTTTCACTGCATCCCACTTATAATTTTGTCTTCTTATGCTTCTTTCATTTTGTAGCTACATTTCTGCTCTATGAAGCTAATGAATACATGTGTTTTTAAATGAAGAACAAAATAAGATGAAAAAGTAAAGCTAGTCGTAACCATGTTCTACATCCGGTATGGTCCTCGTTGTTTTTGACTTGACGTCATTTTCTCATTAGCGGCACATTCCTCTGTCCTACACGCAGCTCCGCCCCCTTTTTTCCCTTAATATTTTTGTTATCGTTGTTGTTAAAATCCATTAAAATGGTTTCAAAAAACACCAATTTCAATGGTTCATATAATCACTGTAGTATATTATGTTGTAAATGTGGACATGTGTTTTTTAATCAAATCCATGTAATCTGATACCTTTTCAACACTGTTTGTCCTATAAAATGGAAGGACATGCTGCAAGAGAAAAACAATCAACAGCAATAAAAACAAAATGTGATGTGGATTATTAACACAGTGACGTCACTATGATAAAAACAAAATCCTGAGCGCATGATGAACAAACAGTTTGTCCTCATTCCCGGGGCATAATGTCGGTTTGTAAATGGATTTCCCTGATCCTGTAGCYGTCACAGAATAGTATTTTCCATTTAGACCCACCCTGGTGCTGGAGCGCCCCCTGGCGTCCAGGTTTATCAACAACAGTCCAAGCGGGATTAAATAGCTGCACACAATAATCACTGAGCAGACATGGGGATATTCTTGAATTCGAGTCTATTTCGATAAACAGTGATATGTTTTTATAAGCTGTAAAAAACACGTTAAACTTTACTCTTTGCAAACTTGCCAGGTGTAGCAGTATTGAACACGTCACCATTTTTCTCAGTAAATATATTACTAGAGGTGCTAATGACATGAAATTTTCACCAGATGTTGGTAACAACCCAAGTGATCTAT